ATTGTGTATTGTAGAGATAGTCGAATAAACACAATGAGTAAAGCAAGTTTGCAGGGGAAAGGTTTTTAGAATTCTAAATGCATTTCCAATGATTGAGGTATTTTCAGCATAATTATAAGTTAGAGCTTATGTGAAAAGTATTTCAATGTATGTTCCAAATTGTACCGAATAACAGAAACAAAATGTAACTTATGCGCCATCTAGTGGACAGAGTGAAATCCCCTGAACGTACACCTAAAAGTTTAGTTAAAATTGCTGCTAACTAAATTTGGATGTCACATTCTTACTGCCATCAAGAATACATTTCCCTTTCTCAGGGTTTTACAGCATCTTATTTTGATTTGTGTTATGCTGTAATTTACTAAATTACATACTCAAATTATTTCAGATCTGAATTGTTTTCCTCTTTCTTTCTAACATTTCAAATTGTCAAAATGTACAAAACTGCAGAATCCCCTAAAAACAAAACTTAAAACATTGTCTGAGAGCCCCACCATACTCATTTTACAGATAGTTGCTATGAAGAAATACAGTTAAAACCAAATAATCATATGTACCTCACAAAAAGACACATACTTAAGATATTTAACAAGCCTTGTAAATTAAAGGGATATTATTGTGAAAACCTATTTCTGCACAATTTGTTTTGGTTGTATCTTATTTAAAATTTTGAGAAACTAATTTAGTCTGTATTCTGTAACATTTATGTTGTATAATACTTCTACAGAATTGTGATAAGTTAAGAAGAAAATCTTTATTTCCTAACTCTGCATTCTTGTTATCAAAGTTGTAACGCTTTCTAAGAATTTCTGTGTGTAGTCCAAAGGTTGCTGTTGAGGAGACGTGTTTTATCAGTTTTCATTTGTTACCATGCCAACAGTGTAAACTTCAGTGGTAAAGATATGATTTCTAAGAGATGAATAACGGAGACACGCCTTTCTGATGAAATATGATGACAAACCTGTCCTCTTGAAAAATTTCCAGTTACCTGAAACTTTGAAATGTTGGAAATTAGATCCAAGAAAGAGGAATTAAATAAATAAACTTTGGAAAGGTTGAAGCGGGAAGTACATTATAATGTTCCTCTATTTGCCTAACTAAAAATTGGTATAGGAGGCAAGAGAAAGGTATCAAGAGTTTTGTGGCGTGTTTTCATAGCTGTAACTTTCTGATTTAAAACATCAAAGATCATACCCAAATAATAACCCTTGTACAAAATAAACTTAGTAGTAATTACGAGCATAATATACAGTTTTACACTTATTATTCAAGCTAAATTCTAAAAATAGAGGGAGGAGGATGAATAAAGAGGACAGCATTCATGGCACAGAAAAAAACAAAAAAACAAGAACACTAATATGAGCTGCAAAGTTTCCCAAGAAATTTCAACCCTGCTTGATATTTGTAAGGATCTTTATTTTTGTCATGAGATTTAATCAGCTGTTGATCAAACTAAAAAAAAAACAGGAAAACAAAAAAAACAGACAAGCAAATTTAGGTTACACCATAATGTTCTATAATAATTATTATACAATAAAGATTCTACAATAGCTATCATTCCTAAAGGAAACCTGATTTTACAGGCAGATGCAGAAGCATCCGACATCAGACAAAGAAGTTTTTTGACATCAGGACATCTTAAATGCCATGTTTAAAGGACCAAATCTGATTCTAGATCCCCTGACAAGTCCAAAAAAAAAAAAAAAAACAACCAGCAAAGAAAAAAACTAAAAATGGAGCTTTAATTATTGACTCTAAAATTGTTGTCTGATAATAAAAAATATCTTAAGTTTATCCGCTCAATTTCTCATTTTTCCTCAGTGAAAATATACTTCATAGAGTTGCAAAAAATGAAAAAAAAAAACATAAAGTAGAAGAATTTTACATGGTTTTTACATCAGTGGGTCACATGGCCTCGAAGTTATAGAAGAAAAAACACAACTTTAGACTAAAATGGATTAGCCGTGTGCTAGATGCTGCTCACTCTGTAAAGCTTAAATATCCATTATCCAACCTCAGACAAACTTCATGGAGGTGCAAAGTTCTCAGTACACGTCCTACACCAAAGGGTCAAATTTAGAAGTGATGTTATCTGTGTAATGTTGAACAGCGCCTCAATTAAAGCAGTGCATCTCTGTCATCTACTGCTAACCTTCTACTACCAGTGGCGGTTGTAGAACTTATTCACCAGGGGATGCAGTGTTTATTTCATGGGGGCTGCAGAAGAAAAGCATCATACAAAAAAAACAGGGAAGTAGTTTATGGTTTAAGATACTAAGGGAAACACTGAACCAACAAGCAACTTGTGACTCCTGAGACACCAGATATAGCTAGCAGAAGAAAAATATGGGAGCCGTGATTTATCAGCCCTGATTTTCTAAATTTTGCGAGACCTTTGATCAGCTGATACTTAGAGATAAAAT